TTCACTGAGTTACGCAAGCCCCTTCGCCACGACAAGGCAGTGATCCATGAAGGGGAGCAAAAGATTACAGCCCATCTATTTCCTAATATCTATGGGTCTTCTAGATATTGTTGCAGCTTAGATTGCACAGGCCTTCATTAGGATTCTTTAATTCAGTGTAATTAATTCTAATGGGTTAGTGTAAATAAAGAAAGTAGAAATGAAGAAAGGTTACTTTATTTCATGTAAGCTTGTGAAGGCTATATCCATCTGATAAGATTTCTAAAAGGGGTCAGAAACTATTCATGATCAATGAAAACTTAAAACAGACTTTCATCAATTTTCTACCATACTGTTATTCCAATGTATATATTGTTAGATCAATAATAAGCAATAAGGAACAAAGAAAAGCTTGAAAAAATAATTTCTTGAAATGAATTGTAAATACTTACGTTAATCTAGTTGTAGCTTTTTTGTTGACTGAGACAATTTCTTGAATCTGAGCTTGACAAAATGCTGCAAAACTTCCTGACTTCAAGGTTTTTTTACTTCTTTCAAAAAAATTTTCTGTATTACAACTTACATTCTCATCATTAAGTATTTTCAAAGTGGGCAAATTTTTGAGTAAGGAGCATCTTTAAAATGACAGAAAAACATAACATTAGCACAGGTTAGCTTTAAGAAACATGTTACATAGAACATCCATGACTGCAACCTCAAAACACAAATGCAGCAATGTTTTGCCCAAACAGAATTTGACATTTCAATAGGAGAAGCATTATAGGGTTAAACATTGCAGGTAATGCTTGCTTCTCCAGTTGAAACTGGCACTTTGATGTTTGAGCTAGTCCCGTTATTAAATAAACCCTTGCTTATTTATGAGATTTTTGTCAACTGAAGAGATGTCACACAGAAGAAAAATACAATATGTTCTCTATCATCTCAGATTGCAGGAAATGAGATAATGCCTAAAGTTAAAGGAAAACAGAATCTAATTGAACATTTTCCTAATAGCAAAAAACAGTTTAATAATGGAACCAATTAACTAAGAAGATGACGGGCTCCCCTTCATTGGATGTGTTCAAGCAGATGCTAGTTAGACATTTGTTGAAGATGCTTTACTTTGGATTCTTGCACTCGGTCCACAGTGAGTTGGACTTGATGGTCTATATAGGTAGTCCTTGACTTACGACCATTTGTTTAACAACTGTTTGAAGTTATGATGGCACTAAAAAAAGTGATTTACAATTGGTCCTCGCACTTACAACCGTCACAGCATCCCTGTGGTCATGTGATCAAAATTTGGGCACTTGGCAACCGCATGTATTTACAATGGTTGCAGTGTCCCAGGGTCATGTTATCACCATTTGCGACCTTCCCAGTTGGCTTCTGACAAACAAAGTGGGGGAAGCTGGATTTGCTTAACGACCATGACAAAAAAGGTCATAAAATTGGGCACAATTTACTTAACAATCGCATCACTCAGCAATGGACATTTTGGTCCCAATTGTGGTCGTAAGTCAAGGACTACCTGTAGAACGCTTTCTAATGATGATTCTGTGAGGATTAAGTAAAAACAATCTTCCTCACAGCATCTATAGGAGAACTCCATTCAGAAAATGTAAATGGAAAAAACTGGTATTTGTCAATATATTTCATGAAGAGGATTTACAGATTATGGAATACTCTCTTGAAACTAAATCCTCCTTACCTCCAGGTTAAACTTGAATATAGACCCTTATGCCAGATTTTACAATCAATTATCACAGAAAATTTAGACTATCTAGCCAAGAATAAAGACATTCCACAGACTTGAACAGAAAAATAAGCACATATTTAAGCCCCAGCAAGTGAACGTGATGGATTCAAATTCTGGCTGACTCATATACCTTGTTTCAATATATATCATTAGAATCATAATTCCAATTTATATCTGAATAAAAAAATTAAATATAAAATCTGTATTTCCTTTTCACAAGTGCATACATGTCAGATGGTAATGTTAAACGAATAACTGAATATGCCGTCTGGAGATATTAGAGACAATGCTGAATAATGAGATATTCAAAAGGTGCCATATCAAGTTGATTAATGTTGGAAACTATGGTTTCTTAGAGCCATGGGATCTTAGCACTAGTTTTTCCAGCTGGGTTTCTGCTAGTGACGGCTGAATCAATATTTCATTTAGTGAAAACTTCCTGGTGAATATTCTGTCACTTAAGAGGTTCTATTAATCATTACTGCAATGAAACATATTCCCCCTAGGAATGCTCAAACAGATCTTAGGGTTTAATTTCCAAAAAGTGATTTCTCAGTACTTCAGCTTCTTCAGTGTTATCACTGGCTGGACATGAAAGTAAGAAACCAATTGGGAAATTTTACAAGTAATTCCTTTGTTGGTATCAAGGGGTTATGTAAAGTTCATTGAAACATATTGCTCGAAATTATAGTCAATGCTGAATTCAACAAATCCATACTTTATAGTATCCCATTAGATAAATTAATCTCTTCTCCGATCATGAAAGCTCAAATGGCCAAGCAGCGTAGGAGGATCTTGATGACTCTGGAATTTCAAGATTTATTTTAAACTGAATTTAGGTGGAATAGCAATTATACACTTATCACCTATTAAAAGTACACCAAAGTAAGAACAATATACCGATTAAAAATTACCCCCCCACACTCCTCTTTCTTTGTTACCTGCAGGAAATTAGCAGTAATAGAAATTAGAGTTAGCCAAGGTCAATGGGAAAAAGAGATAATGGAAAAATAATCTGAAAAGGTTGGAAGTATAAGTATAAACAAACTGTACAGCTAAATGATGAAAATGGCAGAAGACCAATCCAGCTGCAAAAAAAGAACTGAATTATTTGAAAAATCAAAAGGAAAATAAACAGGAAATGGAATACAAGGGAAATTATTAAGAATAGATTTTATCTATGATTACTAATGCTTCCACATAAGTAGTTTGTAAACTCAAGCTGCTGATCATCTGGCAATTCCTATTTCACTCTTACTAGTTAATACTGAACTAGACAGAAACAATATAGAAGAAGGTTATTGTTGTGGAAAAGCAGAAATGGAAGTTCTAAGCCTTCAAAAACAAAGTGAGTTGATTTCTACTTCCTGTTTTCTACCTTCTACAGTTAGCATAGCATCCCCTCCCAAGGGGGGGGGGCAAAGGAAGTAAATAATAATGAGTTGTTGAAAAAGACAAATGTATGATTATTCCAATAAAGATTACATTGGACAGCTATCAGATTAGGCTAAGGTAAACTAAACTAAAATACAGAATAAAGCAAAGATGCATAATTTGAAACTCTACTGCTGCACGTTACCCTCAGTTTTGAATGCAGCACTCAGAGCTTCTCTAAAAATTTTTACTGAATTGTAGTATTCTCTGTGACATATAAGGAAAATTATTACATGCAGGAGAAATAAATATATTAACTGCAAATATGTTAACATGTACAAAGTAAACAAAGGTATATTAGGATATCAAGCAGAGTAGATTATGATGTGGAGTTGAATTAGTTCAAGTATGACAAAAGAAACAATGGTTTTCAATAGAAGAGAATATATGTAGCTCAGGGTTGAACTGTGGAGTCCTTGGTGCTCTCTAAGCTTGGTTGTTTGCTTGCAGACATTTCATTGGGCCATATTAGCTGGTGAATTCTAGCGCTGAATACAATACACTTAGAAGGAAACCAATGTGACTATGGGCCAGTCATTATTTTTGAATCCAGTGATCTCACCGATTTATTGTTGTAGGGATAAACTGAGAAAAAAACTTCTGTATGGAAAGATGAATAAATAAATAGAAATTGCTGGATTTATAAAATAAACTAAGAACCTAACAGGGTACATATTGTCAATATTTTATTATGAAAGGCCTTTCAGGACAGTGAGATATTGGGAATGTATTAACAAAGCTTAGATTAATATTATGTATAACTGAAAAGAAAATTAACACCCCAGTTATGAATAAATGAATTTATAGAATATCAATATATGTTTAAAATAGGCTAATTTTTTAAAGCTTAAGAAACAAAACTATTGGAAAATAAATGTATAAAGGAAATTGAATTTTTCTATACATATTTAATACAATTTAAACTTAGTTTGTTTAAAATATCCTCCTAAGCAGAGCTCAGATATAAGTTGCTTCAACTTTCTGATTAACAGAAATGAATAAAATATATTTAGTATGAAAACAAAACAATACAAATGTTAATGCTGGTGATAAGAAGTCAAGAAATAGTTTCTAAAGAGGGCAAATGTAAATACTTCCATATAATCTATCATTAACTATTTAATATAGTCAGCTAGCAAATAAAACAAAATGAAGCAAAACAAAGCCCCTGGCTTTTTTGAACTTTGCACATGTTGGTAATTCTAAACTATCAACAGATAATTCTAAACCGTCAAAAGTTCTAAGAATTACTTGAATTAATCTGCTCTCAACACTTCTGAATTATTTTATGCTACCAGTGAAAGAGTTTTGAAAAGAGATTAATTAATTTCAACTGAAACTAATAGGATAACTTTGTCATTAAGCATTGCTGATTTGTCATTAAGGAATGCTCATTTCGATTAAGAGTAAGTGTAACTAATATTTCTTCCATCCTACAGAACTGCCTTGGTTTGTGATAATTATTGTAACCAACACAGCTGGGAACAGACCGTTATCTTTTTATCACAAACTTCTCCAGACAAATGCTGTTGCTCTGTCAGATCATCATGCTTTTACCTTTATCTTCATCTCATTTCCCTTTCATTTAAACTAGGATGTTTCAAACTATGTTCTGTGGAATCTTAGAGTTCCATGAGAATTTGATGGGGCTCTGTGAATGACTAAGGATGAAAAAAAAGTTTACTCAAACACAGTCGGGGGATCCATAGCAATTTTTCTAAGATATAGAGGAAAGGGCAGGGCTTATTTTCCTGTGAAAAAACATCATGGTTGCCATTTTGAGGATCAAGAGTTCCAAGAGTTATTTTTTGAACCAACAGGTTCCACGGCTTGAAAAAGTTTGAAAACCCCTGATCAAACTCACTTCTATAAAATATCTGACAAGAGAAAATATTGGGGAACATGAAAAGACTTTGCTAATTATTAACTTTATCCTATAATTTAATCAGTTCCAAATACAAGAGTCGTTCCTCATATTATATTGTTCTATTAACATTATTAGTAATAATTTATTAAATGCTACATAACAAAGCTATCCACATATTAATAATCATAAATCTCATACCCTCTTTCTCTTCTCTACTTACCTCCAGCTCTCTTCTTGAAGAAGAGGATTTCCAAGTAGGGATAGTTCTCTTAGGCTATCACAGCTTTCAAGACATTGAATGACACTCTTCAGATCTGCATTTGTTAAGGACAAAACAAATATAAATAGTTATAAATATATTAATAGGGATTACAGCAAAAAACTGTCAAATTAATATTGAATAAAATGAAGTTTTTATGTCTGGGAACACTCTTCCAAGCATCTTTAGTGGACAATGAAGTGAAATCCCTAAATTTTAATTTAGTGTACTCCATTCTAATTATTCTACAATCATTGGGATTACTTTGGTGCAGTGTCATAATGCAACAAATGACAGTGGATGGTTCTAGGTCCTAATTTGGGGATATTTTTTTATTCTTTTTAACATCCCATTAAATATTCTTTTTAAAATCTGTTGGAATCCTGGTTGGACATGAATGCTTTGAGTATACCATTTATCTTTGGTATACTGAATGTTGCTTCATCAGACTTTTTTCTTCAACTGACACATATGTCATTCATCCAATTTTGGTGAATTTTATGTGAAAACACCTGAACATATAAATAACTAATCAAACAATTGTATATACAACAGCATTTATGTAACAATTATTAGCAAAATAGGTGTACAACATAATTTTAGGCAGGTGGCTTAACCAAAGAAACATGATTTAATCTACATCAGAATGGATAATTAAACTTAGAAATACAGGGAAAGGTCTTCTAAGCTGAAAAATAACATATTTTAATATGATTATGGGTTGAAGAACTAATTTGGAATCATCAAAATGCTTTTTTCTCACTTTTTAAATATTCTTAAATAAGATTAAATTTCATCTGTAATTCATGATATACAAGGTCTACTGATAAATACAATGTTAAAAAGGATTAAACACTTGGCTCAAATCCTTTTAACCATAAATATTAGACAGTATAGAATAATGCAAACCTTAGCCATGGTTAAAGCTAACAGGAATGCATGCTGTTCTCAGTGTTAAAAAATGAGGAACATATTAAATCTAGCTGCTAAATCTGAACTCCATATATAACCAGAAGAGAAAAACAAACTTTTACAGACTTTTTTGATATACACATTAACAACCAAACTCATGTACGAGTTATAAAGTGGACTGGAAACAGAAAACAATTTTTCCTATTTATCTTGTAAACTTACCTAGCAAGCAGTTGTTGCTCATGTTTAGTTTTTCCAATGACACATATGAAGAAAGAGGCACAAGTTCTGTCAAACTAGAAGAAAAACAACCAACAGTTTTATAGATATTTGTGTTAAACCTACCCTCTGGGTACTGGGCATATAAAAGGCCAAGCACAGCTAAAAGTCAGGCAATGATTCATCATTTGTTAGCAACTTCTAGATTCACTATCTGAAATTGTGGCCATTTCTCTTTTAATATCAAAGTAACACTTTTCAGGGTCTAAACAATTGTATAAAAGCTGCAGAATTCAAAGTAATGGAGTAATTTCCTTACAGATGAATAAAGAAGCTCCATGGATTGGGGGGGGG